ACTGTCAACAAACGTGCATTGGATTCATTTCATTTCAGATTCAGTGCACTTTTAATGAGAATGGCACCACAAAGTAAAGATCCAATTTCATCAGACTGTGAAAAGATACGACGAGGATGAGAATTGACTCAACGGGGATAAGAAACCATGTGGCGAAGCTGAGTACAGAAGAGAGAAGTTGTAGGTGTCCTAGATAAAATGCAATAGTACCCACTTCCGAAATGAAGNATGAAGGTGAAGAAAATAAAATTTATTTTATTCAGTCATTGAGCTCAGAATGGGTCTTGCTATCCGGATGAAATATTGGTCATACTTAGAAGGTGAATGTTACATTTAGCTCATTCGATATTTTCATAGGCATCAGGCACTGTTGATGATCTTGGGTTTAAGTCCTTGAGAGATCGTTAATTCCCCATGAGGTAAATGCACTTTAATGGAATGGAAATGTTTGTGATGACTCTAACAGCTCTCTTGTTTCTTTTGTCGGTCATCACTAACACTTCCATCGCATTTAAATTGCCCATTCTTATTCTTTATCTGGGTAGCATTGGTAAGCTTCTTACCAATGCGAAAACGATATGTCATCGTATTGTGTTCAAAAGGAGCGGTGCTATTTGAGGGAACCTCGATCTCAATGGAATTCACTCATCAATCTATTTAGGGTCTAGTTTGAACTCACTCATCCAGTGAATGCTGTCAACGTTCATGTTTGAGCACGATGATCGACTTATCGATCCGTTTTCATGTGACTGGCTTTCTAACCCGACCGACCGAGGTCAATTACCATTGGGTTCATTCTTCCATGTCCAAACCGCACCCAAACAAAGGCAAGTGTTAGACCTTCCTTGATATTCAAGAAAGAGAAGAAGCTTGAGGGGTGAACTGCTGTATCTCATCCCATTCTACCCCACTTGAACCTTGATCTNCGATGATCGACTTATCGATCCGTTTTCATGTGACTGGCTTTCTAACCCGACCGACCGAGGTCAATTACCATTGGGTCCATTCTTTCATGTCTAAAACTTAGCTGGTCGATGGTCAAGTTACATAAATGACTTTTCTTCAAATGTACATCACAACACGTCTCAATGATAATTTTGATTTATCGATACTTCCTTAGTTCATTTACTCACAGGTAAGGCTAGAAGAATCTTCTGATGGAATAGCGTAGACCAAGAACCGGGGATTCTAAAGAAAGTTCCACAGAGTATTATTTTTCGAGAACGGTTCACTGAGTATCGTTTAATGGAGAACCTTAAAAGACCGCAAGGGAGCATGGCAAGGAAAAAGGAACCCTACTGTAGTCTCTCATTGAAAGATGATTTTATCAGTCAATTAATGAAACAATGCTTTATATGAATTGATTCTTGAACGTTTTTCAACTCACTACGGACGGGATTCTTAAAAGATAAATTACCCACCCTTGACCAGTCCGTAATCCCCTAGTCATTTTGGCATGAAATGTAAGTAGACCAACTAGGCCGTTGTGCCAATCGGTTTGGTTGCGCTCTAGCAAAAGGGAGAACGTCTCAGATACAATAATGGAGTGTCTTACGGGCACTAGACTTCAAGTGAAAGATGGCGTGTTCCGAATAGTTTATATGGCTCTACGAACCACCGTAACGCCTTTCGTCAACATCATCTCTCACCATTCATGGCGGCGGATATTCGACTAATAAGCTCGTCGGTTTGTGCTCGGAAGCAATTAGTACATTCCATCCGGTAAGCTCCCTTGAGATTTACTACCCGGATTTGATATTGCGTATTTGTATTTGTATAACATTTTCAAGCTGATATATACCTACATTTCAGTTAAAAATTTTACACTGGTCGTCACACCGGAGGAGATATAGAAGTATAAATAAATTCTATAGTGTTGTGTAAAAAATAAATGTCTCTAAAGTTTGATTCATTCAATTAAAGATTAACGCAATTCATTTATAACTCGTTTCTTGTTGGTCAAAATGCGAGCCAGATACGGTACAGTGGAGTTTTTATAAATGTTTATTCAGGAGGGTAGGTACAGATAAGAGGAACGAGTGATCGAGTGGGAGTGTCAAGAAGATAAGTCAAAATGCAAATGATGAGCGGGGTCATTTANATAATCTTATTAACAAAGGTCATATAAGACATGTTATGATCAATAATAAGTTCTGTGAATGATGATTCGGCAGAAATTAAAGATTCACGGCTTATTATCATTAATCCATGACGGTCAATTTTAAAGTCTTGTTTCAATAGACCAGGAAACACTACAGGGGAGCAGTAAAGTAAAATAGGGAGCACTCATTGTTTAATAACAGAGAACAAAACTTGTTGGGGAGTGCGAAATTGTCTGAGCTTCCGGAGCTGAAAGGAGAGGTGCCGAACTTTTCCCGTACAGTTCTGAATGTGTGTCGACCACCGAAGATTATTAACGATAGTAACAAAGGGTAACATTAAGGGTTACAGTGTCTGACGGGAATGTAGAGCGGGAAGAACTAAAAATGCACTCCAAGCACTTGGATGTGTTAAGATTAAGGCCAGATTGGTTTGAAAACTGTTCAATTCGGGACAGACTTTCAGTGAAGGAAGAAAATTCCGAAGAAGAATAAACGGCCTGACAAAAAGCGAGATCGTCAGCATACTTTTGGATATGAGCAGAGTGTGGAACTGAAAGATCACTAACGAAAGCAGAGGAAAGATAAGAAGGGAGGACAGCACCTTAAAGCACACCAGAATTATTGACTAGAGGACTTGAGGTATTCCTACCCAGCTTTGTGCAGTGGGTCTTTTCGGTATAATAATCAGAAAGCCATGAAAGCAGCTGTCTCGGGGTGCCAAAAGATCCAAGTTTAAAAAGGAGGGATGACCGGGATACGGAATCAAAAGCAGACGAATTATTGAGAAAAACGCAACGAACAGATTTGGCAGAGCTGTTCAGCGACTTTCTTATAAAATGGACCAGAGTAGACACAGCGTCCAGAGTGGATCTGTTATGTTTATACACGAACTGAAGAGGATCATGGGGAATGGTGACAAGTGAAGGTTAGCGACTCAGGATGGTTTTCTCAGTCAACTTTAGAACTACAGTCGTCAATGCGATGAGACGAAAACGTTTTGCAAGAACGATTGATTATGAGGTCTTTGGAACAGGTATTATGGTCACTGATCGCCAGGAATCGGGGATCATCTGTGATACTAGAAGCTGTAAACTGGAGTTGAACGTCTTGAGCTGAATAGCCTACGATAATTAGAATCTGAATGACTAAACTTAACACACTCGGTTTCTGGATTTCTTCTGCTAATCAAGTAGGCATATCTAGTACTCTTCTTGGACTATTCCCTGCGGTAGGTTACATCTACCACACAAACACACCATAGAATCATGGCAGTGATTCAAAACTGGACCCGTTAAAGAAGGCCTGGTCAGAAATAATGAGCCCGGTGTTACATCTTACAAATTTGTGGATAAACTCTACATCCCAGATACAAGAACGTGAGTCGGGTGAGCAAACGGTATAAGCTACACATACCTGATGAATAGCACCAACCACAATATCTTTGGTGTGCTTCAGGGGAATTCCTTCCCATTCATTGAGATAGTAATTAAATACGAATCGCGCGATTGAAATTCCGCTGAAAAGTGTTTGTTTTGTGCCGTAAAACAATGTATAGATTAAGTTTCCTCCAAAGCAGATGATTTTGCTGAAATTATTATCTGGTATCGTTAAGTTTGAGAACGGTTAGTAGTGTATTGTTTTTCTGCTTCGGTCAAAAAACAAACCTGAACATTTCAATCGGGAGCAGACAACATAATCCGAAATGAACGCATCGGGTTCTAAAATACTTGATTGTGTAAGGTAATCATTCTTAGCAGTACCATATGTTCACAAACAAAATCATCCCTCTTAAAACGTTGATTTTGAGTCAGAGTCTGGCACAAACAGCTTTTCTAATTTAATTCGTATCGCTGGTGGTAGATTACGTTCTTAAAATTCAAGAGACGGTTTACTTTGTTTAATCTGACCAGTTCTATGTTATCAGCATTGCGCAAGATACGGTGAGATAGAATGCAATTTTTGTCGACCAACCACTTTAATTCCAAGGACAAAAGTACGTAGATTTTGGATCAAATCATTTTCTGTTCATTTCGATTGGTGTACCACCTGAATCACTATGGCTTTCGAAATCGCACTGTTCAACCTGAGACTGTGTTGATTACGTTTTAGACGAGGATGACATTTCAACGTGAGACTCAAATTTCTGCGAGGAATTTTGTGGTATTGTTCGTTCAGACGCAAATGAACAAATGGAAAATGCAACGCATAAAACCGAAACCACTGATTGTGAGCTTGCATGTGTATCCGTTTTTCAGTCGAAACTAATATAGACACTGGACCGGTTAAAAGTAAATCGGTCTATTTTTAACACTCACATGTGGATTTCCCCGATTTCGGTGGCCCTAGAATGAGCATACGCAGCGGGACTGGGACCGGTGGATCTGGTTGAGATTGAACATATTTCAGTGGATTCTTACTGAAAAGGGTTCGAGCCGCCGGTGTTTTGAACCAATACACATTATCTCGATAGATAGCGGCACACGTTGTTGGTTTGGATTGTGGGAGTGTTTCACCTGGTACCCCAGGCAGTGCACCAATCCATTTGGCGTTAGGGACACGTACTGGCGGAACTGGAACCGGAAGTATCCATGCGTTTCGCTGCAATTGGGTTACGGGACACCAACGTCCGAAACGACTGGGAAATCGATAACCGTTGGCGATTAAACGTTCAGCTATTTTCGGTGTGACTGGATAGACACGTTCAAAAAGCGATTGCCGATTTGAAAGTATAGCGGTCAATCGCTAAAAGTAAGAAAAAGACATTTGGTGCTCGACCATGAGTATATGAAGCCGAAAATAAATAACTGAGTAAACAAATATTTTAACTTTCTCTTTAATTTACTGGGTATACAGAAGTACAGGCAACTTTCAGGTTAAAAGCCACGGCCATATAAGGCTTGTCTGAAGAAAAACATGTGGGTAAGATGGGTGGCAATGGCGGGNGCGGGATTCGAATATAGAACCTTCTGGTGGCTATTTTTGATGACCTCAGCCACTTTACCATGGCCAATGAAACCAACTGTGTACCTGACAATGTTGATCCGGCTATGGTGTTTAATGTGAATCCAACCGAGGAGCAAGAGTTCACTTTCTTCGTTTACATTTTGTTAAACTCGGTACCGCTGATTTATTTCCTGATCAATTGGTTCGTGACTGCCGGAACGGTTGTGACATTTGACCATGCGGTACGAATGCGACCGTTCGCAATAATCTATCTGTTTAACAGCTTGGTGAATGCCCAAAGTGCAAGTATATCGATCAGACATGAACCACGGGCAACAGAGAGAGAAGTTGGTTCTCTGTGATTTACAACCGGTGGTGTATGAGAATACTAATCTGTCCTTACTAATAAAAATTGATAATGAAAGCCCCGAAACAGCACAAATCCTCGAAATTAGGGAAATAAGCTTATTTTGAGGGTATGCAGCATTGTGTGAAGTCAAAATGTAGGATTGATAAGAAAGACAGGAGGGGAGCGAGGAATTTGAGACGTTCAAAGTTTTGATATCAGTAGAACCCACAGAAATTGCTCTTATGGGACAATATTGAGAAACACGAGGCAGTTTCTCTCCTCTATATCTGGCTAAATGGCAGTTGCATTGCATATATATATATAGAATATATATATATATAGAATAGATATGTATATTTGTTCCCGACTTGCAAACAGGAGTATAGTGCCAAAAAAATAAAAATGCTAAACAATGGGGCTGATGTAAGAAATGTGCTACCCAGATGCGCATAAAAACTTCTTCAACTAATCCAGTCTGATCGGAATGAAAAGAAAAACGGCCGTTCTATCAATTTACCATAATGCACCTACCTTATTAATATAAACAAACAGGTTATTATTTTAAAAAATAACTTTCACCTCAATTTCATTTACTGAATATCCAAGTGTTCAACCTTATTTTGAAAAGAGGGCGACAATCAGTCAAAAGCGGTTTGATGAAATACAGAAACGAGAAAATAGACGGCAGTAGCCGGATTCAGACTCATCGCCTCCGGGTCACGGTGGTTTTGCTCCTAACCGCTTGGGTAACGTGACCTTAGGCCTTTAGAACCTTCGCCCGGAATATGAGGCGTCTAGACTGCCCAATCTTCATGCATCATATTGGCGGTAAATATACACATTGAAGTTCTTTGTATACAGATAAGAAAGTTCACTCCAGAATAATGTGCACGTCAAATGCCAGGTTCTGAACACATGGACAATAAAAAATGGAAATAATTACCTACTCCCAGTGCACAGAAAGGATAAGATGAATTTGGCTGACTCAGCTATATGCAGGGGAAAATGAGACACTTACTTTGACCAGTCTGTATCGTACCCAAGTTAATTTTCCACCGGTATCTATTTCCACTTTCGGCACAGATAGTTCCTCGAATTGTTCCAGCAAATCACTCAAATTTTCCGACTGCTCATCGTATCGTTCAGTTATTTCTTCCGTCAAACGATCCACTGCATCTGCCTCAGTCTCTTCCTCTTCCATATTAGCTTCTTCTTCCGCTTCCTTCGGAAGAAAACAAGAAATAACGTCTGAGCCGATTTCATGCATTTAGATTGCGTTTTTCCAAAAAAGTGTATAGTTTAGTGGAACTCAGGTGCATTTTGTTTAGACAGCAATTTGGACTGTTTGAAAGAAATCACTGAATCAGAAAAAAATTAAAAATAGGGAACAATATGCCTCTCAGACCATAGCAATGTACGTTTCAAAAGCGTACTCAGAAAATGGATGATAACGAACAACCAGTTTATTAACATACATCAATATCATTGGCCAACATTTCATCGATATCCACTTCGTCGTCCAATTCCTCTTCATCTTCACCATTATCGGCAGTATGGCCAGCCTATGCGAAAGGAAACGGAGATCTTGAGCAGCACATCCGTCCGACACCATTCGTTATTCAAAACAAGTGATAAATTAACGTGCAAGGAAGAAGGCTGATTTTAGGGGGAAAAAATAGCGAAAAATTAGTTATTTTGGAATTCCTTCCTCCAGCTGATATATATATATATACCGGGCTTCAGAACACTGAGGACAGTGTTCTTTCGTGGAGAGGGATAGTGTAAGGACCCAGGCAACTTGCCATTCAGTCTGAGTGTGAGTCCTGCTCATGTCTCACCGAACCATTTGATTCATGGTTTCTGCATTTTCCTCTATTTCAGATTGTCAGTCTACACGAAGAACATCCGGTCTGTCGACGGTTCCAGCCCACACCTAGACTCGGCCCACTTGCGGTTGTCTGGTGTATTTGTTCACGGGGGACATCCTGCCGCATACACGAGCCAAGCACCTCAAAGCCGGTTGATATATATACACTTACAGAATATTTTCAGGGACTATATGCTGATGCGAACCCTTGCAAGGATAGCGGCAGTTTTCGTTTTTTTGTTGTTGCATTATCACCGAGAGAAATTCAAAGTTTTAGGCTTTTTAAACTCATGTGACCTGTTTGACAAAAAGCACTCTTTAAAATGTTCACCCTACGTTTTGCTTTTCAGTTATGTCTTGTTCACTTTAGTCATTATGCTCATATTGCCCAGACAAATCGCAAGCAGAAAGAAGGTCAGATGCTATGCAACACTGTGAACACGATTCACGTTTGTCTCTTCCTATTTACTCTTCGATTCGGTTGGTGATTGCCAGTCGCACAGGGGTCCGTTATATTTAGTAAAAGTTACTCGTTATTTTGATCCTTTGCTTTTCTTGATTTTGATCTTTGTCCAGTGGTAATGATTTTTCCATTCATCCGATCCGTTCTTCCATATGAAAGAGTATTCATTGTGAACACAGTCTGACTAAATATGATGCATTGTGGATGATATTCCGTGTTTCAGCACCGAAATATCGTGCTACGTCAAACGTTCTACAGAAAAGCTGCACAGCCCAGATGAATGGATCAAATCGAAGCCCGCACAAACGATGAGCCCATTGGCTGCGCTCTATGCCGGATCGTGTGGCAGACAGGAAAAAGCTTTTTGCGCACATTAACAAGTCGGATGACCAATCATTGGGAATCAGGAGGCCGTTCATGCCTCATAGAAGGAGAAGTGACCGAGGTATCAAGTGGTCGGGAGCAGGTCGGTAGGAAGACTAACCGCATCACTGAGCCGAAATCGGTTGAGAATACGGCTATTCATCGCGTGGTCGGTAAGCCGTAAAATGTACCTTCCGTTTTATTGCCGAAGTTTTACAAACCGCCTATCCCTCATTAATTTAGGATGATTCTACAGGTACAGTCTGAATGTCTTCCGTTTAGCTTTGTGCTATGCTGGCCTCTTTATTCACTTGATGATGTCACTCACACAAACACAATGAATGGGGTGAAAACAGCATTTACCAACATAATAACTGCATTTATAATAAAGCTATTGAGTATACAGTGCTAATGTGACAGAGCAGAGGGTTTATTTTAATGAAATCACCCCGAAACGTCTCATGAATAATCTAACTCACAAAACACACTGGTATAGGACATCTAGTCGTGGATCCATTGTGATCCGGTGAACGGTCCATCCGTTACAATGCTCTTCAGACAATGCCTCCCACATCCAGAATGCTCAATATGGTCAGCCCACTACCCGGTCAAGTCAGTGAACGTACATTCAGAAGTCCCGGAGCCACTCCTACTGTTCATCCACTTGGGCGGCCAAAAGACAACAAACAAAACCGGCGCACGAAAGTGCATGGTTAATGGTTGTACAAACTGAAACTAAAACCCGAAGCCACTTCATAAGCCTTATAATGAATGGTTTGCTATCGGGGATAGTCAGCTCCTTTAAACCTCCGGAAATTCGTGTCTCATCTTCCGACTTCAGTGAACGTAGCCCTACTAGGGCGCAATGAATAAGTGTCCATCGGAGATCAGTTCATCGGGACTTCAGTTACGGTCGAATCTGCTCAGCTATACGCTCGCATCCGATCACCATACAACCATACCTTTAGGAATTCAATTTGTCCCAGTAGCAATTTGTAGCAGTTACATTTCAGTCTTGGAATCAGTTCAAGTTGTTTCGGTACCATTTCAAGCTGTCTCCGTCTCATTTAAATCTGTCTCGCTGACCTCATTAGGCGCTGCCAAACCCATACACTATTCAAGCATCCTAGCGATGTCTGGTTGGACAATATACAGCACCGATCTCTCAACATCCTGTTGAAGCACGGAGGTGACGGTTGCGAGACTTGCCTCAATTTTTATCCCAATTCCCATGACATCCTGATTTTTTTACCTTGCGAGTACGTGTACGCGTCTGTGTGTGTTCTTCCTCCTCTCCCTGAAAAGTTGCATTGGACCACGCTCTGCCGACAGGAATGGGTCATGCATGATCTACGCTTGAGTGGGACCATTGCACGATGTTGCAACAGGTTTCATGAGCTATACCTCGAGGGGCTTCAATAGGACACCATCAGTCATGTTCGATCGAAACACGCGTCATTTTGCCCATGTTCACATCCAGTTTGTGTACCACTTGCAGACTGTATTCCATCTCAGTGGCACCAACACAGAAGCATCTTCAAATACTGCGTGATCAAGATGACCATTTTGGCCATATTTCCGGAACGGTATGTGATATTTCTACTAAACTAGATGCATATGAAATAACGTAACGAGGGCTGTCGAAATGTACCGCCAACTTTATGATAGTTACTGTTTTATAAAGAATTCGAAGTTCAAAAAGCGGAGTTCTTTTGAAAGTATACTTTCGCGATCACGGGCTTTGAATACGATAATCCTCATCGGTGAAACGACTGCCATGAGAGATAGGTGAGCTCAGTATTGTTACGACAGAAGTTGCCACCAAACTGGCGAACTATATACAGTGCGATTGCTCCAACGTTTTCGATCGTCTCGTCCCTCTCACCCGTGACCTTAAACAAGTACATTCTCTCTGACCCCTAATGCGATTTGATTGGATCATATTCCGTGATCTGCGACGCTTAAAATCTCTCACCCCAACATGAAACTGTCCGCACGTTGTACGTTTTGTAATGCTCTTGTTGTTACGTCCAGTCCATCCGAGTGCTGATGGCACGCCTGCGACACAGTCGAAGTTCACTGGGCCTGCCTGAGACTCACAGCTGTAAAAAAGGTGTGGTTTCTCGCTCGGGTTAGCTGGGCAAGCCCCGGGTCCCTTGTTGGGGCTGGCCACAGATTCCGAGCATTTCTTAAAACGGTGACTTGTTTGTCGATTTTGTTCTGTGTAACCGGATTTAACGACTGCCTATTGATATAGGCAGTCTTATGTTAATGCATTGTCCCAGCATTACAGACGGGACACTGAGACATCTCTTCTACATACAGCAATTCAGCGCAGTCTTTGGATCATGAACACCACTTGATCACGACGTTTTCAAATGCCTACCTGATCGCGTGGAAAACATGCATTGGTATATACGGTGACGATAATCATATTATTAGTGGAGGATTGATTAATTTACATTTCTTCCAGCAAGATATGAGGAAGAAAAGAGGTTCTATTTTATGAGCAACGTCAAGACAAACAATTGGTTTTGTCACATGTGTGTTTTTGTAGTTGAGTTGGGTCAACTGATAATCCTTGACGTGAACCGAGATGCAACCACCTGTGAAGATACAAGTGGCTACTTCCTCTTTCTGTCCATCGCAATCCAGAGGGAGGAAGAAGTATTTCTCAATAAGCCAATACCCAAATACAAAAGTCATATATCACAAACGGCGTGTAACCTTTTCACAGAATGAATATTTTATAATAGTCTATCCGTACTAGTGATCTCAAACCACTGGGGGAAAATTTGAGGGTTTCTGACCAGGTACGTCTATCGGTATGTCGTGCCTTAAGTTGCTAAACGATTTTCGCATCTAATTTTGCTTTGATAATTCTGACCAGAGTAAAAACTAAGTATATGGAATGCACTTCAAACAGAAACATTTCTTCCAACCTTTTAGGGCTTGTGATCCTAGTAGATTGTAGTGAACGTATTTCACTGGACGAAGGAGCCTCAGGTGACACTTTGGTAATGATAATTTTCATCCAGTTTTGGTTTATTCAATGTAACACTATGCAGTAAACTGTTGGAAAAAGGACAGTGGTCGATGGAAAGTTGTCTTGTGGATAAAGAAATGCAGAAAATGGCAAGCCGTAGTGCGAACATAAGAAAACACGATCTCCGGTCCTCTCTGAGGATGGCTTTAAATACCCAACAGCCACCACCGAAGGGAAGTGCTATACTACTATGTGCGGTCAGCTCCTGTATGATTTCCCATTCGAGCACATTAATGATCGGGTAGAATTTTAACAAAATACTCTCGAACACTTTCTGGTGGATAATCAAGCCGTTTGCCCTTCATATAAACTATGTGTTGTGTGAAACGGATGAAATTACAAAACAGTTGAATGACTGAGGAG